ACCCTACAAGGTTCTTATTCATGTTCAATCAAATGCAACAGTCACATCTACCAATTATCTGCCTCAAGCTAAACCTAGTAGAGCATGAAGAACTCAATACTCAAAAACTAAGTTACAAACCAAAGATCGAACACAAATTACCAAACAAAGAAGAAAGATTCTTACTTTGAGATTCAGGAGTACAAGACTTAACACTCAGGACTATCGAATCCATCTCTAAACAGACACAATATTAAAAGAAGTGTAGTAGCATCACAATCACAACCAGAAAACACACCATTACGATATCCAAAAAGATAAAACTTTTTAACCTATCTTGCTCTTAAGAGCCACCAAAGAATCATTCCAAGCTAGAATTCACAACGCTACAAGTTCATATCTACGTTCAATACAGAGCCACAATCAGATTTACCAATTACACTCAAGGAAACAAGTAGGAGGTGTAGATAAATTAATGAATACACAAAGCTAACTCCCAAACCAGAGTATCTTTAAAAGATTGAAGTCAAGACTGAATAAGCAATAACAACAGCGAGTAATTCGAATATCGAAACCCAAATTCTCATCCTGAAAGAGACAGAATATTTCAAAGAAGTGTATCATCACAGAAGAAGCAAAGTAACAACCAGAAAGACACAAGATATCGAAAAAAAATAAAACTTTTCAACCTATCTTTGCCCTTTAGAACCACCAGAGAGTCTTAATGATAAAGCAACTCACAAAATGCCAAGTACAATTCACAAATCAACAACCCTACAAATCCTCCATGTGCAATGCAATCCCACGATCACATCTACCAATTATGCCTCAAGCTAAGCCTAGTAAAGCATTAAGATATATACTCAATCCTCAAAAGCTATATTGCAAACCCAAAATCGAACACGAATTCCCAAACAAAGCACCAACCAGATACACACCATAACGAAACTCACAAAATGCCAATTAAAAATTCACGAAATCACAACTCTACAAGTTCTTATCCAATACTCAAAGCTAAACCAAAGATCGAACACAAATCCCCAAACAAACAAGAAAGATTCTTACTTTAAGAGTATCAGAAGCTTTCTTGAGTTCAATTTCAAGTTCCATCATTGTAGTAGCTTCACTAGCCCTAATAACAGCCGCAAGAGCACGAATCGCCGCAACAGCTTCCGCTAAATCAGGTTGCTGTCTCCAATTGTTAAACTCCTCAATCACGCTAAAGGGTCTTTCCGACAAGGTCGAATCCGAGTCGGGATAACATCGAACGGCGGCTTGAGCTTGTTCTAACCAATCACTAGTCACGATTCCATGATGCGCCGCTCTGGTTTGGTAATAAGCCGAAATAGGATTAGGGTTAGGGTTTTCTTCCGCCATTGAAGAAGATAATGGAGGAGGAGAATCGATTGATTGAGTTACAGAGATGGGTTTGTTGTTATCGTGTTTATCGAGTATGAACGAAGCCGATCTTCTCCACATTTTTGTGTGAAAATCTTCGAGAAAAGTTCAAAATCCAATTTTGAAAGGAAGAGACTTTGAGGGTTTATGTTTGTCATGAACAGAAAAAGATATTATCACTTAGCTCCTCGAATATTTTGTATATTCGTATTTACTACCCTAAAGTTACAAAATATCTCTCCATCTCACCCTACAATTTACATTTGATAAGACTATAAGCTATAACAATACCCATAATGAAAGAATGATCTACTTGTGGCTCCACATTCATCGTCAAAACGTCGTTTCCAAGATCCAAACCGTTAATGTTCGATTGTTTCTTTTTGACTTCCGCCATTAATCTTCCCGATCCATCTTCAACCGCGAAAATCGATCCGCGGTTTACGATTCTATAACAAAGTTGTTGATCATCAGCATCTCTACGTGATCCCGTTACAACTTTGTAAGACGAAGATAAACCTCTTGATGAAATCTTGAAATTCTTTGTTAGTCGAAATCTTGTCCCGGTTGAGTTATATCCTTTACAAGATTTGGATAGCCCCAAATTCTATAACCAAAAAAAGAAGTTACGTTACTCTCAAAGTTAGTAAAATCTATATATTTTAGATTAAAACATTGTAAAACATAATGTTTATCACCTTTTGACGTAATGTAAACAAGACTTTGCCGTATAAATCCATTAGGTAGACTTCACTACAACTCTTGGAGTTATAATTATCAACTCGATAGATTAAGTTTCCTTTTGAATCAAAAACTGTGCAGCCTTTACCATGAAACACTAAAGATCTCATCCAAATCGTGAAACTCTCTTGCTCCGTTGTCAAGTACGGCGAGCTTTTGTCTTCTCCGGCGACGGAGTTCACCGGAAAGGCTTGGGATTCAGGATGAATCTTTACCATATGGTCGTTGCTAAATATTTGCATATATTGAACAAAAGCAATTTTATATTTGGCACTGATTTATGGTTGTATATGTCCCCTTCGTATTTATACTTTGTAGCTATTTGTAATAATTTAGTCCTATGGTTATAATAAAATGATATATAAGAAGGTCTAACAACCACATGTTC